TGGCGGAATAAAGAGTGGTGGGTGGGGGAGGGAGAGTTACCGGCCCTGAGCTGCCGGCCCGGGGTGCCACAAATTTTTTCGAAATATTTTTTAACTGGAGATAAAAAAAATATATTCACAATTTTTATTTATTTATTCACAATTCCTGTCTGACAGGAGGACTTGAGCTTGTAGGCCTGAGCTGGGGGAAGGGTTTGAGAGGAAGTCCCCCTTCCAAATGAGATTTTTTAAGAATAGGGATCTCTGGATGGCCAAAAATAACACGTCAGACTGTGACAGACGTGTTGGCTTGGCGTGGGCCTATTTTTATATCTTTTTTACTCTGACTGCTCGACGAGCTCTGTCCAATGGGGGGGGGGGGCTTGACCTGTCTGGTGGGGGATTTAAGCCTCTGCTGCCACCCGCTGGCGCCGCCACTGGATGGGAGTGGTGTCTAAAGGAAGGGAGCATAACTCCCGTCGAGAGGAAGTCAAATTGTCAAGGAACACTGCTTTGAAAAAGCAATTCTACCATCTTGGTGCCATTTCCGAGCGTCTATAGGTACCTACTCTTTAAACTTGCTCTCGGGCCACTGACACTTTACTACCATTTCCGAGCGTCTAGAGGTACCTATTCGTTAAACTTGCTCTCGGGCCACTGACACTACGGAGATTTGACCATTGGCGTAACACCTGTGTGTTTTCTGGTGCCAACGTCGAATCTAATGTCCCAGAGAGGCCACCGGGGTCCTCTTACTACCCAGCATTTCACAGATTTCAAAAAATGGTTGATATTTAGGGGTTTTCTGAGCGTCAAAGAATATTATAAAGCTTCAGATGAGGACCTCAATTATGTTTGGAAAATGTAAACTCTTCTTTTCTCTATACGAGGACCACAATTTTTTTTGGAAAATTTAATGTAAACTCTTCTTTTCGTTTGTTCTTTTCCTGTGTTCAGAACTTGATTATAGAGAATCATGAAATAATTATAGCCTTCCAATACGTCAGAACCAGTGACGGATTTAGGTGAGGGGGGGGGGGGGGGGGGGGGGACGCCCCCCCCCCCCCCCCCCCCCCTAAACATTTTTTTCCTCAAAATTATGGAAGAAACTTGAGGGGAAAAAATATTAGGCCTAAATTTTGAGAGTATCATTTACGGCCATAGGCCTAATCATATATAGTGAGTGGTATTGACACCCTATCTGTGAAAACATTTCCCATGGCCCCCTCTATATCGAATTTCTGGGTCCTCCAATGAGAAACACTGGACTTTTTCAGGCCCTTCGCCGTTCACTCCAAACAGGGGGTCTTTGTGGTCTAGCCTTTGCTTGCATTTAATCCAATGACCGTGCCGTCGCACGTCCGACAACATCCTTCATTCTCCTGCTCCTCCTCATCATCATCATCTTCATCATTATTAATTAATAGTAAAGTAGGGAAAAAAACTATGAATTCGGAGTGTATTCATTCATTAATAGACGTCTCAGAATGCAGGAAAATGCACTTTTCGAAGGAGGACTACCATATACCCCTTCCCCCGTCTAAAAGTTGTCTTCCAGCGACAGAATCACAGTGGCGCATATCAGGGGTGCTCGGGTGCCTGATACAACCTCCCCACCCTCCCCCTTTCAGAGGTTGAACAAAATAAAATGAGCTACTGATTGGCAGGAATGCTATTCAGACAACAAAACACTCTTGATGTCTTTTAGAAAACTATCGTAGGTGATACTTTCGTATACCATGGATTATAGAAATACGGACAGGACGCGTCTTTGTCAGGCATTGCATTCATTTTTTTTGTAACCCCCAGGCACAAAAGCGCCGCCCAATGTGTCGATTATCTATTAGCTAAATAGGCCTATTTCTGATGCACAACAATGTTAAAAATAAATCATTTTTCCGGCCGATGGGGATAGAGGAAGACTGATGTTTATCTTGTAAATTGAATTTTCCTCTTACGGCATATAGGCCTAATTAACTGTTGTGTTTTCAAAATTGATGATTTTTAATTTTTTTACTTATAGAGGGCTACAAAGTCAGTATTTATGTTAGGGTCATGCTCGTTAATAAATAAAGTTGAATGAAAATAAAATAAACAGTGGGGTAGGGTGGCGCATTATGATGGGATTGCCATTGACGGCACCCCAGTGGCGGATCCATGCTCCCAGGGCATCCGGGGAGCATGTTCGGGCAGGGACGTAGCCAGGATTTTGAAAAGGGGGGGGGGAGCAGTTGTGGGAATTACGTAGGACCCCGGCGGGGGCAAGAGGGCGAATCGATCCCCCTGAGAAGTAGCGCACCGATCGTTCTTAGGACTGTTTGAGAGGATAAAGTGAAAATTGCATAGACGCGTTATGACGCATTATAAATAAGCGCAAAAATAATTATATAATAAATCAACAGTGGCAGATCCAGGAGTTCGAAAGAGGTGAATCAGGGAGGGACTTTCACAGACCGAGGAACCACCCACCTCAGCCCCGTGCCCACCATGGTTGGGACTGAGGTAAGAAAATTTATGATTAGGGCATCTCTAGATGGCCGGAAATTACACTCTCGCACTTCAATTTGAATATATTTTTCTTTTTTTTTCCTTAAAAAATTGAAGGGTGGGGGTGTGGGGCCTTGAATCCACCTCTGCTCAAAACATTCTTTATCCAGGCCAGATAGTCATAATCACGAAAAATGGACATGAAAAACCAGATCACATCCTAAAAACAAACAGCAGTCACTAAGACATACATCAGGAGCCGACGACTCGATGGAGTTTAATGTCATACTCAGGTAAGGGCACAGATCTGTTTTGAAAGGTGGAGGGGGAGGCCTTTTTATGAGTCGACACCCACCTCAGCCCCACAATGGTTGGAGCTGAGGTTGAAAAATTTGAGGAAATAGTACCTCTAAATGGCCAGAAAGGATACTACATGTATTAGTAAAATTCATCATCATCACATCACCTTAGTCAAAATGAAGCGCCAAAAAAAAATTCTCATGATCTTTTATCAGGGATTTTTGACAACCATAGAGATCTTATTAATGTGTGTGTGTATACCATAGAAAACAAAGTTTAAAAACATTGTGTTTGAGTATGTAATTTACATAGGCCTACTTCAAAAATGTGATTTCACAACCTCAGCCCCACCATGGCTGGGGCTGAGGTGAGAACATTTGAGGAAATAGTAAGGTACCTCTCGAGATGGCCGGAAATGACACTTTTATATAGTAAAATTCATCATCATCACATTAACATTATAGACAAAATGAAACGCCAACAAATTTCTCATGATCTTTTATCAGGGATCTACCGGTACTTATATATCCAGGACAACTTAGGCCTAATTATAGCTTAAGCTTTAATAGGCCTATATACTATAGTATGATCAACAAATCACAACTTTTTTTTTCGCATTTAGCACAATTTTCTTCACTTTTTATTGCTATTAATATTATTATCAATTATTACTATCGTCATCATCATCATTGTTATTATTATTATTATTATTATTATTATTATTATTATTATTATTATTATTACTTATTACTATTAGTAGTAGTATTATTAAACAAACATTTAAAGAAACTTGCAAAAGGATAAAAACGAAATTGAACCACGTAGTATCGCATTTCTATCTTAAAAGACCTGGCCTGAGATTTATGGATTTAAGTTTTTTTTAAATCACGCTTAAGCCTATGTGTGGCCTATATATAACGTGTACTGATGCATATTGACATGTTTAGAATTTTGAAGTATTCACTTTGAGTGATCCCAGGATCGAATTTGTATTGGCTCAAGAAAAGCTTTAAAATTTTAACACTGTGTACAAAGGTGGGGGAGGGGGGAGCCGCGGCTCCCACGGCTCCCCCACCCCCTGGATACGTCCTTGGGTTCGGGGGTCTGTCATTCTGTTGAAAACACTGCTTCGAAAACGTATTTATATATTCTGAAAGTTCCATTTTCGGGAATCAACATAGTGGGGCCGAGGAAAGTGTGGGCATTTTTGGTGGTATCGGTCTCCTCGTCCGGTACGTTTTTCTGGTACTTGCATTGTAAAACTACTAAGTACATAAGTGGTTTTTTTTGTGATCGGAAATTTAACCAAATTTTATTTTTATTCGGAAATCATTATTGGAGGTCGTCGGATCAAAACAACAGTTTGATTGCCAATCATCCTAATAAGCGTAATAGCGGCATTGTGGTCTAAAACCACAATTTGGACCATACTATAAAATTCCCCCGTGAACCCTACCAGGGATATTTTTAATTTTGGGAGTCTGACCGAGGCTCTAGTACTAGTAGTCGGTCCCTTGGTTTGCACCCTCCGTCAGGAACTTCGGCCTCTTGTCGGTATATTTCTGGAGCAACCGCCGACCGCAGTCTAATCCCTGATTGATTTGGGTCTGGTGGTAGGTAGGCTAATACAGCAGCCCGCGTAGCGGCGCTATACGATCTTTGGCAGCCTACCTAACGACAATCTCTCAAATTTAGGCGCCAGTTTTATATTTGTGGTAAAATAGTCGATCGTAGAAGAGTTGGAAAGTAAAGATATGTATATTAAGGAAGTCATTTTAGATGGCTTTAAGTCATATGCTCAAAGAACAGAAGTGAAAGGATTTGACCCGCTTTTTAATGCTATAACAGGATTAAATGGGTCTGGAAAATCAAATATTCTGGATTCTATCTGTTTCCTTCTTGGTATCACTAACTTGACACAGGTAAGTTTTCAGAATGTTCGGTCCGTGACCTCTTCGCGGAGAGTGGCTTGGTTGGCTAGGCCCTAGTTTAGCCAGGCTAGGCTAGCGCGGTAGCCGATCATTTCTGTCGCGTTAGGCCTATAGTACAGTACAAATACTGGTGGTAACCTTTTGCCTAAATTACATAGGCCTAGCCTGGGCTGGGATATGACCGGTTGAGCCGCCGACAAGTTGAGCCGCCGGTAATTTCTATGGAACGCCAAGCGCGTCTCTCAGTGAATGTAGGCTTAGGCCTAGGCCTAGTCGGTTTGCCGATGATGTCATCAGTGAATGAACCCCCCGGATACCAGCTACATATTCATCCCACAGTCTTGTCAGTCGTTGATTTGCTCATATTGCCGTTCGTGATGTATAGGCTAATTGTGTAATTGAAAATTAGAATTTTGATATTTTTATGTAGTACATTTTTATAAAAATATATGAAGTTGTAATGTATAATTGCAAAATCGTATTAAAAATGTAATTTTATGTACAGTACTACATTTTTATAAAAATAAATGAAGTTGTATAATTGCAAAATCGTATTAAAAATGTGTTTATTTTACGTTTGGTTTGCGGCGTATTTCAATTAACTTATTCGTTATTTGTACTACAGTAGAACCTCGTTTTTACGTACCCCAGTTATACGAACCCTCTGTTTTACGTACGCCTCGTATGGACGATGACGTCATCAAAAACCCCGAAAATATTCAAAACAAACGGCCCTTTTGAGAGTAACCATAAGGATAAAAAATATAACAATAAACTATAACAATAAACAAACCATAATGCAACGTATTTTCATTAACCCTTTCACTGCCATCTTCGCATAAATGCGAACACGATCCCTCTGGTGTGAGTGCCGATTTCGCATAAATGCGAATAGGCTCACTGTACAGCCAGTGCCGTTTTCGCATAAATGCGAACGGGTAAACGTCTCCTACAAATCGACCGCTAAACGGCTGTAGC